AGTCAACTAAGAATCTCTAATGGTATTCAGTATTCTATATTTCATAAAATAGAGTAATTCAATTTTATTTATTTTTTTATATAATAGATTTATTCTATAATATAATGGAATATAAAATAATACTAGCTTTTTATTCTATATATTGTATAGAGTGAAAAGCAACATTATAGAATACAAAAGCAACATTCCTTTACATTCTATTCTATTATAGAATAACTCTATTATAAAATAAATTATTGGGATAAATCCAAATTAGAATTACACAATTTTGAAATAGAATAGAGAAAAGATTATAGAGTACTATTATAAATGTTCTAAGACAGCTAAGCCAATATGTGTTTCTATGTGGCCTAATCGGCTAATCACACACATATTATGCATATATATATACATATTATAATGTAGAGAATGAAAGGTTTGCGGTAGACAACGAGAAGTTATTACTGTACTGCTTTGTATAACTAAAAGTTTATATGACTGAGGCTAATCAATATTTTCTTTATTTATTTATTTTTAAAAAAACTAATAAAAAATCAAAGTGCATTGATAAATCATCCTAAAAGTAGAGTATATCAATCAAGGCCTTAAATGGGGGAAGAAAAAGGAAAAACGTATACTGATTATAGTCCTATTGAAACAAAACAAGAAGTAAATTTAGTCCAAAAGCAACAGAAAAAAGGGGGAAGCCAATTTGATTGATTCTTTTGAAACACTTTGGATAATACTCTTATTCTAAAAACCAGTCACTTGGCCTGATAGATGGCTTTCATCCACCTTGATTTATACTAAATCAATGTAAAAAAATTGGATGACCGATTTTAATTCTCATAAACTGTCTAACTTACGGCTAGACGTCAAGGTAACTGTCTAATCTATTTGTTTTAACAATATTTTTCTTTTTTTTAATCCAAAATTTGATAAATATAATTTAATTCATAATTTTGATAAAAATTGTAACTTACTAAATTTATATATTATATATTTTATTCGGATTTCATGACCAAAAATATATATTTTATACGGTTATAAATATGGAAATATATTAATATTATATATAATTAAATATTAACATACTTTCTAGTTAAATAATATAAAAATTTTGCCATGTATAACCAGGAGGCAAAACCATGATATTAATTTAAAGGGTGCACTATTGATAACAAAATGAAAAAAAGTCACAAGGTGGTCTTAAACTTGGGTCTGATATGGATGCACAACACTACTTTTCCACCAATTCTAACTAAATTTTTATGTTTATGTACATGAAAACTACATTATAAATAAATATTACGAGTGCACAGGTTTCCATAGTGGATAATTTGGCTTCGCCCTTGTATAATTCTCGTTTAATCTTGATTTTCTCTCTAAAAAAAAAAAAGTCAGATCCGACTCTATTTTCGTATTACATGTTATTCTACAGAAAAAAAATGAAAAAATAACTTAATCCGAGTAGAAAGTCAGAAAATCGGAAGGCAAGATATCGATGTGTCAACACGATGCTATGTTTTTATGCCATACTGAATATTTGTCAAGAAACCTTAATTTTATGATATAATCTACATATACATCTGTCCTTTGATTGAGGAGCTTTCAGACAAAAGAAAATTAGTTTGCATTCGTTTGGACTTTGGACCTGCGTGAATTAATGAGGAGGTTTGCAATTTCCAACGTTAAGAAATGTACCAAAAAAGTAAACCAAATTAACTTTACTTTAATACTCCCTCTATTTCATTATAAGTGTCACTCAACAGCTGTGCACACGAATTAAGGAAACAATTAATTTTACATATTTTCTATATAAAAACACAATTACCCATACACCTAACCATATTTTAACCAATAGAAAAACAAATTACATAATAAAATTAATAAATTTTGCATTGAAAACCGAAAACGACACTTATTTTGTAACGCAAAAAATTCTCTACAATGACACTTAATATGAAACGGAGGGAGTAAAATTTAGTATTTTTATTTCATATTTGATACACTTTCTATTTAGAGTATCTTTTTTTAAACGACATTTGGAGTATCTTTATTTATTATTGCAACTCTTACATTGTGATGACTATTATTCTCTCAGTTTTATAATATAAGTTGTTTTATAGGTATATCTTTTTCAAAATAGGTTTTTATTTTCTAAAACAGTTTTTTGTTAATAGATATTGTATGATCAATTAAGTTACATGTGTTTTTATAATTTATTAAATTTAGATATTAAATAAGTAATCAATTTTATTTTGAAAAATATTAGTACTAATTTTTAATATTTTAGAGAAAGGGCTTGATAATTTTTATTCTTTTTATTTTTAGATAAAATTTATCTTACATTTAAAATCAGTAAATAGTAAATAGTGATGATCCACATGAAAGCAGGTGATTATGTTATCTGTTAGTTATTTATAACTCTCATCCTCGGGAACATAAATATATCAATTTTATTTCTAAAGTTTTGTCTAAAATTTCAGCTTGCTACAAAGGTTTTTGTGGAGCTTCTGAAAGAATGTCCTTATATCGAGTTTACGTACTATGAATACCCGATTGTGACTAATTATATCAATATTTGATTGGGGTCAGCTGACCCTCCTATAACAATATAATTTCACTCCTGTGTTATTAGCCATCTTAAAGTATATATCAATTGGTTCAACCCCATGTTACATATCGGATTAGTATTAAGATTATCTTACTCAACTAGTCAACTTCTAGCTAGATTAGTTATGAACTCGAAAAGAGACAAGATCAATCAATTGATTGACCAATTATAGTAGATAGTGTTTTTTGGTAAAATATTAAATTAATTTTGTTTCTTTCATTTTAAACGTCGTTTTAGATTTTATGTACAACAAAAATTTTAAAAAGATATTTAATTTGTATTTTTAAAAATAAAAAAATATTAACCATACAATTAATCATATTTTAAATCTATAGAAAACTAAGTTAGAAAATATAAAAAAATCGTACAGCATATAAAGTTCAAAAATTTGGTATTGATATTATATAACAACACTTATTATGTTAAAAAAAAATATATTACAAGGATACTTATGAAACGAAGGATTAGTAGACAGTGCTTAGATGACTAGTTACATACTACTAGTTTACGGATGAGAACTTTGACTTTTGTATGTAAAAGTTATTAGTCAGGTGCGCATGCTAATTTTCTAAACATTGAGATTCAAGAAAATAACTTAGCCAACTATCGTCTCTATAGAACTTATGCGGCAATGTAAGTAGAGTGTGTAATTAATTCTCTCGGGAAACTGACAATATAAAGAAACAAACTAGTCCTCGTCATCCCTAAACACACGAGAGTTTTGCCTTTTGGTGAGCCACTTCATTTTATAGATTATCTCATTGAAATAGTTTCGTGTTGTGACTTTATCGTGAAACAGTTGAAGCATCACCTGAAAGTGGAGTAGACGTCCGATTATAATTCATACATATGGTGGCAATAGCGAGGCTGGTTCTGTAATTACAAATCAGGATGCCCCAGTGACAAACCAACCCTTAATAATTACTCCTATTTGTGGCAGCGCAATACTTCCAATCAACGCAATGTCCTATTATTATTTTAAGAAAAAAAAGTGAAACAAAGTCTAAAATAAAATAGATGAATCACACAATACTTTCCCTGATTTTCCAGTGACATCGTACATAGTTTTTAGACTTTTTTTTAAGCATAGTTTTTAGCGTTGTTTTATATGAAAAATGGATTTCCTACAGAAGTATACATTTTGCAAATGTTTGTGACTAGAAAAAATATATGAAAATAAGAACTTTCATGAAACTAAACCGCTAAAAACAAACAATGAAAGCCTTTTATAAAATCACTTCTTTGTGTAACCAACTTTTTTGTACATATGAAATTATAGTCATCCCCGCCGCGGACGCTGGTCGCGACATACATATGTATAATAGGCTAAGCCAGTAATATTGTACCGACCATTTCAAACATGTCATCATCAAAATTCATCGGTATCATCAAGGATATATACGTCCATTACTAGTGGCCGAGGAGTTTGCGATTCAGACAATTAAGAAAAGCATAAAATGCAGGATAAAACCATCGTCACCCACAGTTAAATTCATATAGTCTTATGCTAGTACAAGCTGAAATATTATAGCATTGTCTAATGAACCATGCATCAACCGAGTACGACACCTAATCCGGGATTCCGGATCATGACCCATGAGGTATCAAAATCTAAGGTTTAAACTTATATAATCATAATTTTGTGTAAATATTTATAAATTCTAAGGTGTGAAAATTAGCATACTTTTTAGCAAATGTTATTTTTTAGGATTTCCATTCACATTTTTTTACAAAAATATATTATCAATACATTATCAACAGATTATCATCTAACAATTTAACTTTTCATGATTCTCCTATTTTAATGCATTGCATTTTGTTAGTATACCCATAATAATTGCATCGACCGTTTTAAAGTTATAGAAAAGTATGTGCTTAGAAATTAGAACATTTTTCAACACCTGCTAATTTCTTCTTAAATGTGAAAAAATTGTAATGTTAATGTTCGTTTAGTGGACACGTAACTTCTCACCATTATGATTTCGTTCTCTTATCTTTTTTTTTTTAACTAATCTTTCTCTTATCTTCAGCACTTATTAATCAGTTATCCATAAAAAATAACTGCTTGATTTTGTAGGATGAAATTTCGAGAGAGTAAGTTGAAAAGCCTAACAAAAAAGGAGATAAAAGTGAATTTTCAAGAGTTTATCCAAAAATAAAAAGCAAGTTCTTAAAAATTTGTTTTGACAAATAAGCAAATTGTCTAAAACTTTCACAACTGAATGTAAGAAAGGCTCAAAACCCCAAAATCCCATAAATGGTAAGAAGTTAAAACTTCATCAAACGCGTTAATCATTGTAAGAAAAAAAATCATCACGAAAAATATTAATTAGAAAATCAAAATCTATCTCTCTGCACTTTCTCCTCCACTCATTGGCAGGCACAGATTCTGAAAACAAGAAAACCAAACAAACCCTCTGTTGTTTTTACTTTTTTTACCATAACTTTTTAAACTCAAATAGTCAAATAGATTCTCAACACCTCACAAAGCCTACAAAGCAAATGTCACTTTTGTATTTATTTACTCTTTACCCACTCATTTCTGAATAAAACAAAATAAAAATCAACCAAAAAAGGAAAATATCTATAAACAAAAACAAAATCTCACCATTTATACTCCTAGTCTATCCCTTCTCCCTTCACCTTCAATCTCCGTCTGCTCTCTCTCTCTCTCATAAGTTTTCTCTCTCTCTAGAACCTTAGAGAGAGAAAAGCCTCTATTTTTCTTACAAAAACCCTACATTACTCAAAAACAAAGCAAAAACCTCATTGTAACAAAATGGATGGTGTTTCCCCAAAGTTTGTGTTACCAGACACATTCGACGGCGTGAAGATGGAGATCACAGGCCAGCTAGGCATGATCTGGGAGCTTGTTAAAGCACCAGTGATTGTCCCTCTTCTCCAGCTAGCGGTTTACATCTGCTTGTTAATGTCTCTCATGCTGTTATGTGAGAGGGTTTACATGGGAATAGTCATCGTCCTCGTCAAGCTCTTCTGGAAAAAACCCAACAAACGTTACAAGTTCGAGCCCATTCATGATGATGAAGAGCTTGGAAGCTCTAATTTCCCTGTGGTCCTCGTCCAAATCCCCATGTTCAACGAACGAGAGGTCTCTTTCATCTCCTCTGTTTTTTTCCTCTGTTTCTCATCCAAAGAATTTTTCTTACATTCTTTCCCCCCAAAGTTTTAAGATTTCGAGAAAAGTACCCTCATACTTTACGGAATATCACTTTTCCCCATGTATTCATCATATTCATCCGCCGTTTCGGGATTTGGAATCGCTGAAGTTAAATGGTTCTATGTGGCGGGGGTGATTATATATAAATCCATAGTTTAGGGATTAATTGCAATAAATTGTAAGTTTAGGGGCTAAAAGTGAAAAAGTTTCCCGTGATTATTCTTCAGGTTTACAAGCTATCAATAGGAGCGGCGAGTGGACTAGCGTGGCCGTCCGATCGACTCGTGATTCAAGTGTTGGATGACTCAACAGATCCTACTGTTAAGGTATTTTAGTATTTTTACTCAGTCCATTTTCAGAAAATATAGCTTTGCATTTTTCAACAACTTTCTCTAAATAAAATCACCTTTAAATTTTTTTCAAACGATTCCCTTTCGTCAATAAAAAAAGATGTCATATCAGGACTAATTTTTGTTTTTATTATCAAATGTGTGGGTTTTAAATGATGATACTTAAAATGTGCAGCAAATGGTGGAGATGGAGTGTCAAAGATGGGCAAGTAAAGGAATCAATATAAGGTATCAAATAAGAGAGAATAGAGTTGGGTACAAGGCTGGTGCGTTAAAGGAAGGACTCAAACGCAGTTATGTCAAACATTGCGAATATGTGGTTATCTTCGACGCTGATTTTCAGCCTGAACCTGATTTTCTTCGCCGCAGCATTCCATTTCTCGTCCACAATCCTAACATTGCACTCGTCCAGGCTCGATGGAGATTCGGTAAGTGTAAAATTCAATTAACATATTAAATTTGATAGTTCATTGATCATAATTATATATAAGACTGGTAGTTAGTTATACTATATAAATGAAAATAGACATTTGATAACGTTGTGAAGTGTCAGGGTCAAAAGAGTACTGAATCGGTGTCCTTGTTTATGTTTATATGTTTTAATGATGTTTCGATCATTAAATGAAAGCTCGTGATTTTGGTTTTCTAGCTACATTAGTTGTGTCGGTGGTATATGTCTTTCACTGTTTTTTTTTTTTAATATTATTTTTCACATTTTTAACCTTTTTCTTTTTCTTGCATACTTTTTAATTTGGCTTTTTGAAATTATTTTTTTCGTATTTTTGTTTCACGTTAGCATTATTGTTATTGTTTTTTTCTATTGACTGACTTTCACAACTATGGTTAGTTCTGTTTGTGTCGGCGGGTAGCTCCAAACTGTGTTAACATCGTTGCCCTTTGTTTACGTTGTACACTTTGTTGCACTTGACTAAATAAACTACTCACGTCAATACCGGGTGGGACTGTTTCCGGGTCAACGGATATTAACATGAATGCTGAAAATAGCATCTCTTGTATTATTGTGCTAACGTCATGTTTTTTCTTATCTGCTCCAAAATTCCGGATCCGTCGGTCAGTGAAACTGAATCAGTTCGATCCGGTTTAATGAGTTGGGTCTAACACAGTAACACTGTTCTGTCTTTAGAAAATCGTCGGGTCTCTGACACTTTCCATGTGCTCTTTGCCTTTCTTTAAACGTTCAAGTGTGGGATCCATTCTTGTCAGTAATAGTTAAGTGTTACTAGTGTACAATTTGAGTATCCAGTCACTGTGGACCTGCATTTTTCTTGCCGACACTTATTTGTGTATTTTAGTATATTATTTTATACTTTCGTCCAAAAAAGTATATTATTTTACTTATATTTTGTCTTTATTTTTTTAAAGCATGAGTCCAACTTAGTGAATTTAATAATGAGAAAGCTATGTGAAATTGATTGATTATTAAAGATAAAAACAAAAGAGAAGGACGTGACTTCCTGATAGTGCCACACTAGACCTTTGATTATATATCCCTATTATTTACGTGTACAAATGAATTGAATTTTATTGTTTACTCTGCAGTGAACTCTGATGAATGCTTATTGACAAGGATGCAAGAAATGTCGTTGGACTACCATTTCACTGTTGAGCAAGAAGTCGGTTCATCAACACATGCTTTCTTCGGCTTCAACGGTAAATATAATAATTTATATAATGATTACTCAAAACATCATTTAATTTTTCCAATAAGGGACAAAACTTAGGGAGTTTTGCTAGTAGTGATGTGGTCGAGTTTAGTATGATGTACTTGGTATGTTGTCCGACCACTTGAAGCACAGTATGTGGACCCAAACCTCTCTTCTTTTCTATTGTATAGTGTACAACTGTTCCTAGTAATCTGAAAAAAAAAATATATATACTATATTAATTTAAAGAATCAAATTAGTAAATAAATAATCAATAATGGATTGAGAGGAGTGGGATTCGTGTACAACAATTACTAGAATACTGAACTATGTAGTAGTATATTAATAGTAAGGAATCAAATCAACAAATAAATAAACAATCAATAATGGACTGAGAGAGAGGAGTGGGATTCTGAAACGTGAAGCAAGTAGGTGGTGTACTTATCCTTAATACTAGTTATTGTCATATCCCTTGTCAGATAAGTAAGATTTGCAAGCTTGGTTTCTTAACTCATGTGTTTAATTAATTAGTTGTGCAAGACGACACATTCATTACATTATGACTTGTACTGGAAGCAAATAAAGCTCGGATCTTAAATTTTGTGGACACTATAGATTTGTGCTTTTTTATTTATCTAAATTTTTTTTATGGAGGGTCAAAATACTATAGCTAAGTATGAGTGTTAAATTTATAAATAATAGGAACTGCCGGAATATGGAGAATAGCGGCGATAAATGAAGCCGGCGGATGGAAAGATAGGACCACCGTGGAAGACATGGACCTCGCCGTCCGAGCAAGTCTCCGTGGCTGGAAATTTCTCTACCTCGGTGACCTTCAGGTATATAGATCCTGATTGTTTTTGTTTCCATAAATTTTTCTTTAAAATAGATAGAATAGTTTAATCACAGTGCAAAAAAGTAGCTTAGTGCACAAGGTACTTCTCTCATTAAAACACATGACAGCTAAGTCACAAGTTATGTTACAATCATCTACCCTTTTAAGAACTAATTAAAGATATTTTGTTATTACTTGTGAAAACTGGTATATGTATAAATACATTTTTTTGGTATTAGGTGAAAAGTGAGCTACCAAGTACTTTTAGAGCCTTCCGTTTCCAGCAACATAGATGGTCTTGTGGACCTGCAAATCTCTTTAGGAAAATGGTTATGGAGATCATCAGAAACAAGGTAATAAACAAATATAAAACTAAGCTTTTTCATCTGATGTCTCATTCTTTAATCTGTCTAATACTGATGTGGCACAGAAAGTGAGGTTCTGGAAGAAAGTGTATGTGATCTACAGCTTCTTCTTTGTGAGGAAAATCATTGCACATTGGGTCACGTTTTGTTTTTACTGCGTTGTTCTTCCTCTCACCATTCTTGTCCCTGAAGTTAAAGTTCCTATTTGGGGTTCAGTCTACATCCCTTCCATCATTACTATCCTCAACTCCGTTGGTACTCCCAGGTAAGCTGAGTTTCTTGCGCCTCAAGTCACTACTTTGGTTCTGTAGTTTTATCTTGGTTAGGTTACTTATGCGCCAAGTAACTGCATTTGCTTATGTTGAATCTCTTTTTTTTTTTTGCAAAAGGTCCATTCATCTGTTGTTCTATTGGATTCTGTTCGAGAATGTGATGTCACTGCACCGGACAAAGGCCACTCTGATTGGTCTGTTTGAGGCAGGTAGAGCTAACGAATGGGTCGTAACTGCTAAGCTTGGAAGCGGTCAAAGCGCTAAAGGGAACACAAAAGGGCTTAAAAAGTTCCCAAGAATCTTCAAACTGCCTGATAGGTATGTGCACTTTCTATACCCAACAATGTCTTATTACAAAACTATATAATATATATATATAGACAGTTGGTGATGATTCTGAGTTGTTTTGTATCAGATTGAATACATTGGAGCTTGGATTTGCGGCGTTCTTGTTCGTGTGTGGATGCTATGACTATGTGCATGGGAAGAACAATTACTTCATCTACTTGTTTCTTCAGACGATGTCATTCTTCATCAGTGGGCTTGGCTGGATTGGGACTTATGTCCCGAGTTAGGTGTCGTGTTTCAGGGGAAAAAGAGAGGGTTACTAATTTTCTGCAAAGATAAAAGAACACAAAATTTTATGGAAAATTACAAGGAAAGTTGATAGGGAAAATGGTTTGAGAAGAAAATAGAGAAACTTAGGAGGAGAGAGTTGCTCGATATAATTTCATTTACTGCCTTTTTAAAGTTATTTAGCTTTTGGATTTGTGATTCAGTAATTGTGAGATTTCAATTTTTCTTTTCTTTTCTTTGCTTTTTTACTTGTTATTTAAATTCAAGATTTGGTGTGAGTTTTATTCGATTGGTGCAAGGGTAATCAATTATTGCACTCTCCACATTAATTTTCATCATTTGCGTTTAGACCTCAGGGATATGTTGCTTGCAGCATGGCCTTCTCAAGAATATAATGAGTAGTTTTAAGTAGCTCAAGTTGTAGTATAATACACATTTGTATTTTAATAAAAAGTAAAGATCCTAGCAGCTTCTCCTTACAGCAGCAGCTTATGAGTTACGGTAGGAACTAAAAAGCGTGTCTGGACTGGAGCATTACGAGTGCACTCTCAGACATTAACCAGTCTAGCAAAGTGTGTGACAGGAAATATATTTAGCTATCCCGTTTAATCAATTCTGGTTTGATGATTTCATATGTATTTCGGTTTACTAGAACCAAACCGGTTCCAAACACTTTATTATGTACCCCTTTTGGTTCTTCTCCAAGTGCTCTTTCTTCTCTATACAAAGTTCACAACGATCATCATCTAACGAATCTTAGAAGAATAAACGTTGACTTTTTTTCCTTCTCTTTCGTTGACCTTCATTTAAGGTGTGGTGATGATGCAGATCATTTGTCCTGAGAGCTAACTTTGCGATGAGTAAGCGTGGAGCAATTCATAGCTTTGAAGAAGATTGGTTAACCTTCTTACCTGATCCTTTGCTATGTCAGATACTCTCTGATCTTCCTACAAAGACTTCTGTTACTACTAGTGTCTTGTCCAAAAGATGGCAACATCTCTGGCTTTTGATACCAATCTTGGATTTAAACATTGATGACTTCCCTGATTACACTACCTTCGTCTCCACGTTTCTAAATTTCTCCAAGGAGTCGTGCTTACACAAACTCAAACTTGTTTTCAAGAGACAAGATGATGATGATCTTTCTATGCTCACGTCGTGGATCGAAACTGCGGTTTTTCGTAAGATCCAACATCTTGAAGTTGACTGTCGTATGAGTTTCATGTGTGAGATGATGCCTCTAAGCCTTTACTTATGCGAGACTTTGGTTTCATTGAGACTCCTTTACGTTGAGCTGCTTAGCTTCCAGTCTTTGTCTTTACCTAATCTCAAATTTATGCATTTGGAAGAGAATCTATACGCTGACGATGAGGTTCTGGAGAGGGTCATCTCCTCCTGCCCTGTTCTTGAATCTTTAACGGTTGTTAGAAACGTAGATGAAACTGTGAAGGCTCTACGTGTTCGGTCTAAAACACTGAACTGTCTCAAACTCGTTTTTGATGTTCAAAGTCTTGGTATAATGATGATAGTGATGATTGGGAGGTTTTTATTGATGCTCCTAGACTTAACTATCTGAGTCTTGTAGATGATCAGTCTGTAAGTTTTGTGATAAACAATATGTATTCATCTGCAAAGGTAGAGATTGATGTCAGTTTTAATGTGAATGATATTTGGGATGTGGATGAATCGATGGAGAGATTCAGTGCTGTTGGTAAAATGCTCAACGGGCTCTCTAGTGTAAGGGACATGACCATAAGTGAAACTACTTTGAAGGTAGTTATGGTAGTAAGTAAATGAACCTTTGAATGAAGAAAAGATTAAAAAAAAAAAAAAAACTGTTTCTTGTTGCAGATCATCTGTCAGTACATGAGATGCGAACCGGTGCCTAGTTTTAGCAACATGATCCGGTTACAAACAGAACTCTATATTACTGATATGGAATCGTTGTTGCCAAAGTTTCTTGAAAGCTTTCCAAATCTCCAAACACTGATCCTGGTACTGTTTTTACTTCTATCTCTTTTATTTGATACAAAACATGTTACCTTATTATCTGTTGGGTGTTATATATATATAACATTTTTCAGAAGCTGAAAGGTGTAAGATATACGGATATCATGTGGTTCTCGTCATTGATACCAAAGTGTTTGCAAACGAGCCTAGAGTGTATTGAGTTGACAAGACCAGACTGTGGAGCTGAGATTGAGATGGTTATGAAGCTAGTTAAGTACTTGCTTGAGAACTCTGCAGTCCTCAAGAAGTTTACGCTGCGGTTTGAGTTTGATGGAAAGAAGCAAGAGTCTATCATCCTTAAGGAACTCATTAAATTCAGGAGATGTTCTAGTGCTTCTGTAATCAATGTTGTTAGACTTGAAGATGATGTTTGTATTTTTCAACACCCTTAGTAGTATTAGTTAACAGACCAAGTTCTTTATCATTCATACTGAGTTTCATAACGTTAATATTGCAACTACTTAAAAACTATTCCGAGAGAAAATAAAAACAAAAGAGGTCTCGTTCCTCTTTGCTACCACTACCAGGGCAATATCTCCTTAGAGATTATATCATATACTAAAAACCAAAACCACTAATTGTTCTCGCATCAGCTTAGGCTCTGCCCTTTCCTTTTCCCTTGCCCTTGTTGTTAGAACCAAACTGCTTGCCAGAATTGAATTGCCTGCACACACCATTCATTAACCCATCATCATCACAAGATTTAGCCAGAAAAAAAGAGAAATACATTAACACACCACTGGCCTCAAGAGAGAGAGGGAGACTCACTTCTTGTTACCACCGGATGATTGACCTCCATATTTTGGGCTCTGGTTAGGACCCTTTTTAGCTGGGTGTGGTGTAGCTGTGTGCCCTCCCTTCTTCTTCTCTTCTGTAACTCAAAGACAATACAGTTTCTTCTAAGTAAAATGAAAAATCCAGTTTCCATTACAAGCTTGCAATGATTCATTCAAAACATCTAAAATGAGTCTCAAGAATCAGAATCTAGAAAGACAAGGAAGAGTCACCAGTGTTCTGAGGAGTGGCTGCTACTGCAGTTTTTGCCTTCTTTGCTGAAACTGGTGTTTTGGAAGCAGATGCAGTCGCCCTCTTCTTGTTGCTCGGCTCAGGCTTCACATAGTTTAAACAATTAACAGCAAGGTGAGGAAAATGAATTCCAACAAAAGCCAAGCACCCTAAGCACATATCAGATAGTCAAATGTATATTACCTGCTTAGGAGTCTCCTCTTCAGAGTCATCTTCTTCATCCTCAGAGTCATCTTCTTCATCCTCGTCAGCTTCCACCTACAAAAATCATATTTCTAGTCACGCTACTAGTCTCATAAACATGCATATGGGAAAACAAGTCATCGAAAAAACACTCACTACTTTCTTAGATCCATCATTATCTTCAGAATCATCCTCCTCCTCTTCAGACTCATCGTCATCCTCGTCCTCATCAGACTCAGGCTTCACTTCAGCAGGCTTGGAAGCTATTGGTTTTGAGTCATCGGAAGTGACAGTTGAAGTAGCAGGAAGCTCCACATCCTCCTCCTCCTCTTCAGAATCAGAAGGGTAGTCCTCTTCTGTGATGTTGGGAGTTTTGTAGCCAACAAAGTGGACACTTCCTTGCTCCAAAGAGTGAGAAAGCTCAAACTCTTGCTCGAAGACAAGATCAAAGCTAATCTGAGGAATGTGGTCTTGAGAGATTGTTCCAATGACATGTTTGACCCAATCAACAGTCACGTACAAGAGACCACATTCTCCTTTTTTGGCTCCATCAAGTGTTGCCTGAGAAATGTGGATGAGATGGTCTACTTGAGGCCTCACTTTAAGTGGCATCCCTGCCTTTACTTCAACTCCTAAATTAAATGAAAATCAAAGCATCCATTAGTAATCATCTAAAAATAATCAATTATGTAACAGCAAAAACACTTCACTATATTTTGTTAGTACACTAATTATATTTTGAGATATATTAACAGACCAAAAGAGACTTGTTAATCTAAACACAGAATAGTATCAAGACATGATTAAAAAAACGAACATAAAATTTTTAAAAGGACAAAAGACAAAAACAGAAACGAAACCGAACTAGGATGATGGTCAAACGTTGTAACGAGGTTTCAAAATATACAAACTTGCTAAACAAGTTTCGAGATCTATCTTACCCCAGAATTCCATTGATGTTTATGGAGAAGAGATTCGAGAGAGAGAAAGAGAAAGAGCAAATAAAAAAAAGTGCGAGAGGCAGAGGAGAGAGGAGGTTTTAGGGACAATTTATAATAGAGCGAGAAAGAGAGGTTTTAGAGGTGATTCTTTAGGGCTATTGCTGAGGATCCTATACGCCGTCGTTTTAGTTCCGCATAACGCTCCAATAATAGTTGGAATATTGTGTTATTAATAAGTTTACGTTTGTAGAAATTTCACATATTAGCTAGTTTAATTACATATTTTGGTAGAGATTATACTTTTCATTGGTTAAAGATTATCTTCTAGACGAGAACAAAAGCAAAAAAAATCTTTTCGGTTTTGTTTTTTAAAAGAAAAAGTGTAACAAATATTTTTATTAGACAATACAACAACAAATAATTCAGAAGACACTGTCCACCGCCAAAAGAAACTCAACTCTAAAGCTTAAAAGATGAAGAAGAGACTCCTCAAAGAGTCTCTGCAAACAAATTGGAACACTTTGTCTGAACCTGAAGCGACAAAACCGCCTCCATTTCCCCAACCGGTGTCTTCCACAGCCAACCTTGATCTTCTTCACCCGAACTTCTATCATGTGACGCATTGGAAGATCGTAGTAGACGTGATAGAGACAACAACTGAGACTGAGATCTTGAGCTTCTCTGGATACAACCCGGTGGTTTCGATACCTTTCCCATCTTCATTGTGGCTTTCTTACTAGACGACATTGGTGGGAAATGGATCGAAGCTGATGCATTGTTATCTTCACCTTTGTTGATGATTCCTGGGATCAGCTTTGATGGTTCTGCTCGGTGTTGCTTCCATGCTAGGAATGAACTCTCTAGTCTTGATTGTACCTGTAAATGAATAAATACAACCACACATGAACAACACTAACCGAGTAGAAAAATCCAAAGTAAGCACAAAAGAAGAGAGAATATTACCGCTGGAAAGAGGCTGCAGGAAGCAAAAGACGACAACGAGGATGATGAAAAAGGAGAAGTCCTACTTCGTTTGTCCACAGATCCAAAACTTGATGGTCCATCATCATCATCATCATCATCTGAATCATCCTCATCATCATCATCTTTAGGTTCATCTTCTTGTTTCTTCTCTTGTATCTTCTCTTTAGGAGTGACAACAACTTTCTCTTCTTTATAAACCGGGACAGCCACCACATCTTCATCCTCATCCTCTTCGTCCTCGTCCAAACCCATTTCAGTTTTCTTCTTCTCTTCTTGTTCTTTCTTCTTTAGCACTTCATCCATTTCCTCTATAGCTTCCTCTAAGCAAATCTCAGCTTCAACTAGCTCAAGCTCCTTCTCCAGCAACTCCTTCCTCTCCTCGTTTGCTTTCTTCATCTCCTCTGTCCATTTCTCTAACCCATCAAGCATCGGTTTCACCGCTTTCTCCATTCCAAGTACGAAGCTTTTCACCGGGTGTTCCTTTCTCACCGCAACTTCTTTTCCATAGAACTCGTCAAACCCAAGTGGCAAAAACTCTACTTTTGAAGGATCCATTTCTTCTCCTTCCTCTAGAGGAGGCTGCCAGAATAGTCGAACGCCATGCTTTTCATCCTCTACGTAGTTGATTATCCGACCTGTTGGTGTATGTAAAATAACAGGGTCCTCGTTTTGGACAAGTTTTGAAGGATCTTCTGGATCAGGTTCGGGTTCTTTGTTCAGTAACACAAACTCTGGTGTCACCTCCACTGATCAAAATAAAATAAAAACACTCAGACAAGATTCAATAAAAGTAAAAGCAAAAATGTTAAGGGTGGTCATTACCGTTTTGCCACCAATGTTCAAGCTCAGCGGGCATTGGTATCCTCAAAGGAGCTTTGTAAAAAGAGTTCAGCCACATTTCTCTTTCTTGATCCACCTCTTCTACGTAGGTCTCCCAATACTCAGGTACCTACCAAAAATAAAAAGAGAGACAAATTCTTAAGCCCCGTTGAGTGATCAGACAACTAACTCAAAAAAGCTTGATAAGATAAATGACCCACTTCGTAAAACTGGTTGATGAAACCTGGCGCCATCCACACATCTTCTTCTTCATAAAAGTAAGCATGTTGAGGATCACCGTATGGGCCTCTTTCTTCTCTGACCACTGCATACATAGTAGAAGAAAAACATCTTTAGCTCCCAACTAAACTAACACCATACTGTAAAATAACGGTTAAACATGTAAAGATAGCAGAAGTAATGATAAAGATTAAAAGAAGATTACTAGACATGGTCCTTCACTGATCTAAACATGTAACAATAGCAGAAGTAATGGTAAAGAAAAGAGAAGAGGGTAATACTTCCGTCGGGTTTGTTTACAAACATTCGAGCCTTAGCTGCAGCAACCTCCGCCAAACCAGAATGTAACTGAAAACGTTTTCTCACATCAGTATATTTTATCAATACTTCTTCTTCTATTATTGCTGAAAGTTACATGTATCATTGAGATTGAGAGAGAGAGAAATGGGTAACTACCGCACAGATATCTACGGTACAGCCATGTTCTTCCTCCAATAGCTCCCCAAAGTAGAATCTACCCTGCATTGTCATTAAAATGTGTAAACTTGTGTCACGACCACGAGGGATACCAAATACAGAAGCTATATTAGGATCAATCAGGTTAGATAGAAATCTGATGCAAAAGACCAGATATCACTACTACTTACATATTGGATGCGTTCGTTAACTTCGTAGACACCACACCCATGCATCCTACCATGCTTCCATTGACCAGCATAGCGATACCGACCTTTCTCCCTGGTTATACAAAATCATAAAATATTAGACAATGTGTGACTAAGTAATAAAGAAGAAATCAACTAGATTACATGATTTTGCTTTTGATATTATAGTCCAAGTATTCGCCTAGTCAAAAGCAATATATATCATCATCTCAAATCATTGTTTGAGTCTAGTAAAAGATCTTTTATCATTGCAAAACTCACGGTTTTTCGCCAAACTGAGTGATCCACTCTTCGTTTTCATAGAAAGGAACTTCGTAATTCCCATCAGTAAGCGCAACACTGTCCTCGACATCCATTTCCAACCACTTCCTGTCTTCTGGAGACATATAATCTCTCTTGATAATCCTTCCTTCAGCACGCATCTTAGCTTCAAGCCTACAAAGAACAATATCATGCTCAAACCAATACGTCCATTAAAATCCCACTGGAAAATTGATTAATAGTATAGAAATGATAACACATACTTGGAACCAGGGATGGGCTCAATGTCAGGAATATCAACTTCGACAACCCCATGACCTTCCATGTCATTCCGAAGCCATTCACCCTCATACCTACAGGTTAGTACACAGAGCCAAGAAAACATAATTATCTTAGTGCACTGAAACCAATACAAAACACTAACAATAGAACCAAAAACAAACGGTAAAAAAAATATGAAAAAAATAGAGATATAATCACCTCACAAGCCCATTTTCAGCAATATAAACACCTTTGCCTTGAGCCAAATCATCCCATACTGTTCCTTCATACCTTCACCCAAAAAAAAAAGAGACAAAGAGAAAGTGAGATAGGAAGCTAAACTTAATCAAGATGCAAGTACCTATCCATCACAAAGCAACTCAAACAGATCAATGTTCTATCTAAAACTCAACCTATATCGCCATAACACGCTCCACAAATCAAATTCACTTAAATAAGAACAATACTAAACATAGAATGCAAGGCTTCAGAAACCCTAAACCCAAACAGATGCAGAAAATATCCGAACTTGATCCCCAGCAAAATCTCCAATCTCCTATCTAAAACTCATACCTACATTACCATAACACGCTCCACACTCCAAACTCTACTTAAACAAGAACAATACGAAACATAAACTGCAAAAAATTACTACCTTTATTACTATTATCATCTAAAGAAACAAACTTTAACCACAACAAAGTAACAAAAAAGGAGGTTTCTAACGAGCTAACAAATAAAAGTCACTAGCTTTATAATCACAACTTCAAACACCAAACAAAAGAAACATTTTCTTACGAGCTGCCGTCAGGGAAGATGTAGCTAACCCACTGAAGAAACTCCTCAACCCTATCAAGCTCCTCAACAACAGCCTTAGCATTATCAATATCATAATGATTATCCGGAATCGCAGGATACGGTTTCCTATACGGAACATAAAAAGGCTGAATCCCAGGATCCCTCCCTTCCTGAATCTCCTCGTTAACAACCTCCCAATCCTCGTCATCAGCCCAAACCGGGTCCCAACCCGGTTTAGTCATCTCCAAAGGAGCATCGGCCCAAACCTCGCGGAGATCCTCTTCCTTCCAGCGCTCGGGATCCTTGGGGAAGTCGAAGAGGTCCTCGTAGAAAGTGTACTTGTTGTCTTCCTCTTGTTGGAGCTTTTGGACGCGTTTGCCTTGGAGGACGCGGTTGAAGCGGCGGATGTTGGTCTCTGGGGTTGTGTTTGGGTCTGGTGGGAGGTCGCTTGGGCGGATGTAGTTGAGGAAGTTCGTGTCGGATTCGGGTTCGTTGTCGGAGTCTGAGGATGAGTAGGAGGAGGATGAGTCTGTGTCGGAGTTTGGCTCTTCTTCTTCGTCTTCATCGGCAGCATTGGGTTGTTGTTGTTGTTGTTGGTCTTCTTCTTCTTCGTCATCAGCATTGGGTGGTGGTTGTTGTTGTTGGTCTTCTTCTTCTTCTTCTTCGTTAGGGTCTTCCTGTTGCTGATTTGAATCGGTTAGGTCGGGTGAATCGTTGTCGTTAGCCATGAGAGAGAGAGAGATGGAGTGTGTGTTGTTGAAGAGTGTGTGCGGATAAGCTTTGCAAAGGGGGTGAGGTTTTGGTGTTTTTTTGTATAGAACCGAACACTGAAATGAGAATATTCTTGGATAATTGTGATTCTAACCTCTTTATTTGTGTTGTTTATGTTTTCGCCCTATAATTTTTTTACTGAGGGTGATTTGAAATTAATAAGATCTGAGTTTGGATTGTAAGTTTAAAATGCGGTTGAGTGTAATATGGGCCGAACATTGAAGGACATGGGCCGTTTCGATTTGGTTAACTCAGACTTGGATGTAGAGGAACACACAAGAAGCAATGCACAGTGATGAACCCAGATCAATTGTATTGTTTATTAATTTGATGGTGGAGTCATGAATAGTGATGAACCCAGATCAATTGTGTTCCTCTATCGATGAATCTGAAGTCGAGATTCATAGGAATAAAATAATATATTTTCTTGAAAAATAAAGTAATTTTTAATTTTTTTGAAAAGTTAGTATTCAATATAATGAGAATCTTCGAATAAAAACATATTTTTAATATTTTTTTTAAAAAAAAATTATTCAATAAATTGAGAATTCATGAAGATAGAAAATATTTTGTAATATTTTTAAAAAAAAAATTTATTCAATATATTGAGAATTCATAAACTTACAAAATATTTTAAAATACTTTTAAAAAGCTTTTATTCAATACACTGAGAATTCATGAACATACAAAGATTATTCATCTATATTGCCAAATTTTTGCCATACATATCAGAATAGAATATTTCTAAATAAACTCTGCCAATAAGGATGTTACTTTTTTTGTTGCACAAACTCATATCATTGAAATGGTAAAACAAAACACACACGAAGGTTTTATATAAAGTTAGTAAACAAAGCATGTCTCAAAGTGAGCAAATATACACAAACGCATCAGTGTTCGCAGATAATAGCTGTAGTATTTCGATAAGGATCTCGTCCTAAGTGGTAGATAGTCCAAGCATGGTTCATTCTCTGGCCTTGAGCTCTGCAAGCCTCCTGGACAAGTCATCCTCATCAACTTTCTCCTCTGTCGCAGTAGGAATGGCATGACCAGCAGCCTGAGGTAGTCCAACAGAGACATCAAGACCGTAATCATTTGCTACCTGCTGCATCAGGTTGTTGACGCCGCCTTCTGTGGAGTAGACAATGATGTTGAACCAGCCATGGTGTTCTCCATGAACTCAGCTTGTACCTCCATGTTAACAAACTGCTGTTCAAATGAATCCATCGTCTCTGACATCTTTTGTAGATTACCTGGTAAGAAACACAATGAACATATAAGAACCCAAAGTTGCATACAATTCAATGAATACTTCATGCTAGCTTCCTCTTATGAAAGAAGTATGCAACTGAGACTAAAGGATGCACCTTTCTTGTGTGTATTCATAAAAACAAAACCTATCTTTCTACCATTTAAGAATGCACCTTTCCCTTTCAAATCCTGCTCACAAGAAGCATGTGATGCTCCCTTTGTTCATTAACAATTTGCATAACTTTAGATATGAACTTACCCGGCGAAACTGGAGAGGGGCAGTGTTTAACCAATCGAGTTTAGATGGGAATTCTGGAACAGTTGTAGATGTTTGCTTAGACATCAAAATAAGAAAAAATAACAGAAGATCATCCACATATGTTTTTTTCAGCTTTTAATAACTTCCAATTTATATCATCTCTTATACTAATACATGATAAGAAGTTAACTTGCATTGTCATTTACTTTAGACTAGATAATTATCAAATAGTTATTCTTACTTGCTGCCTAGATCCGCAATGTAATCCATGAACTGTTGAACTCTCCCTTCACCTACAAGATAACACAAAAAAAAAAAAAGTCAGGTACCTTTCATGGATCAATATGAATGAAACTATACGCTAACATAGAAAAAAGTGTCAGAGGAAATTTAGACAAAAGACCAAACCTTGGTTTTGTGTAAAAGAAGGGCTTTTTGTTCCAACCAATGCGTTCCACAAAGCTTGTGGAGAAGCATATTGCATTGCCTATACTTAAATCACCAACTCCGTAAGATTAAAAAAACAGCTTTGAAAACTAAATAGTCTTCAGTGTTAACCTTCTAGAGTAGACACAAGAAAGAGCAATTCCAGGACTCCCATACCTCAATATATCTCGATGAGAACCCTGAAACCTGTTGGAACATTGCATCTGCAATCTCACCTAATCCCTAATTAATGATTAGCACACATCAACAAGCAAAATCCCCTAATGGCGATATATAGATATATATACCTGTGGGGAAGATTCAAGGGATTTAACTATGTTAGTCATAGATTTGGTGATGGTGGCCATCTTAGCCTGAGCATTTAACCGAGCAACAACAGCGTCGAGACGAGAAGCGAGACGGAGATGAATAGCGTTCTCCGCGTAGATCCGAGCACCATCCATGTTCCCTTTCTCAATCGCCTTCTTAATCTTGAGCTTCTCTCTCCTCCTCATCGTGCTTTCCTCCTCAAACGAGAAGCCATCCAACGCTTGACACGTGCCATGAACCCCTCTCATACGGGTTCAGTCGAGAGAGTTGGTTCACCGATTAAAACTCATTTTTCATTTATTTTTTTTATAAAAAATCCATGAATCCTAGCCCATGAACCCCTCATCACCCTTTGATGTACATGCTCTTACACAACATATCTGCGAGGATGTTAATTAACAAAATGGCCTAGAGTTGGATCCCAACGTTGACGTTAAATTTTCTAGCTAAGTTTGTGATTAATGTTGTATCCAGTTGGATCACCAATTTCTGATCTACAAGGGTTTAAGAAATAACGTAACAGTTATTTTAGTATTAGACCATAAACAAATAAACATGACTTATTCAATATTAGTGAGGTTTCGAATGTTAACTCTTTTACGAGTATGAATGGCAACACGTGAAACAATTGAGGTGCAGTTTTGATAGTAACAAAACATATAAATATACACATTCGTAACAACGTAAGGCAAGTTTTAAAACTGGAGGCCTTTATATGTAGCGAGGAAACATTTTTTTTTAAAAAACACCCAACAAAAGGATCAAACTAAGGTCAAAAACCTACTAAACACACCAAAACCACTCTAACACGCTTGATTTTTAGTAAATAGAGGGGCTTTAGAACCTATAAATATATTGAGTCCTGAGGCAAATGCCTTTTCAAATACATGCCAAGCATGGCCTGATTAACTGCAATGCGGTTTGTAAACATTTATGATATCTCTATAATATTATTTGAGAAGTCACTTTCTTAGGTGTCGCGTTCACGTTAACTCTCACGTTGGTTGATTACTATGCTACCCCTAATGAATTAAAAATATATTTAAATATTATTATTTCCTTTTTAAAATCTTCCAAATAACAATATAAAATAAAAAGAAAATATTTATAAAATTTACAAAACTATTTAAAACGAAAAAATAAGTATATATATAATATGGTTTCATAAAAAAGGAAAGTTTACAAAATAGTAATATTTAACTTAAATATATTTTTAAATAACATAAATTATACTTTTAAGTAATAAAATACTTTATATCTATATCTTCCTAGAAGAAAAAAATATTTGTATATAATGTGTTTTCATTAAAAAAGTTCATACAAATAATCTTGATATTAGAAAAGAAATATTTTTTCTTTAAAAAAGTAATTTAAACAATAAAATATATATTTTCAAATTAATTATTTTTTGATATATCTATCTATTTTATTAGATGATTACATAAATAATTAAGTAACATAAACTGATATATGTTTAATTGACAAAAAAATTATAATTAGTATTATTGAAATATTTTTTTTTATATTTATTTGATTATAATATCTTACAATTACAGCGAAAAAATATAAATTATATTTTACTTATATAATATAATTTCTCAAAAACAATCACATTTTTACTGCATATTTTAATAGATGTTAAAAACAAAACTAAAAATAAATTTAATAATAAACATCTTTTGATCAAATAACTAAATTCGTTTAATATATCATAACACTATAATTTAACAAGGTAGATGTATTATAATTAATAATTAAAATTATCTGTTTTCTTAATAACTCTTTTGATGTTTAATTTTCTGTTTTTATGTTTGTGGAATTTAATATAACCATAATCTAATACTTAAAGCAAATCAGAATTCCTTATTTTAAAAATTATTTTTAAAAAATTTCAGTTTATCATCCAATGAATCTATGGCATAAATTATTTAGAATTTATAAAATATTTTAATTATTGTGAATATTGATATGTGTTCATAAGCTTTCAAAAATTTATTATTACTTATGTAATTTAGAATCACACACTTTAGTTTTTTTTTTTTTGTTCTAAGCACAAAAATCTTAAAATACATAATCTTATTAAGATATACTTATATTTCGTTGATAACAACCAACATAAATGTAAATAAAATAATTAATCAAAAATTAAAGATATTTAGAATAAAAAAGATTATAGTTGAATTCATAGAAATAGAAAGAATCCAATATATATATATATATATATATATATATATCCAAATGATAAAACTGACTAAATATAATATATATAAAATTATAATTACTAAATTAATATAATATTATTAATACAAATTATACATACAAACTATAAATTAATAGAAAATTTAAAGTAAATATCAATCAATTATTATAATATATTTATTTCTTAAATATTTAATCCCGTGCATGAGCACGGGAAAATCACCTAGTATCTATAAAAAAAATATATCTTTATGTGAGTGTGAAGATGAGTTGCGAAGAGAAGAAAGATACATAGAAAATAGATACAGAGAAAGAACGATATGAAGAAGTTACAAATCTAGTGGTACAAAAAAAAAAGAAAAAGAAAGAAGAAGTTACAAATCTTTATTATCTATCCTCTATATGTTTTGAAGTATGTCACCCAAAGTGGACTCTATAGGAAACAACCTTTTCATTCGATTTTAATTTTTTTTTAAAAAATGGTCAAATCAGTTTTTTAAGCTTATTTATTAAATATATACTTTTAAAATTCAATAATATTTTTTGATGATTATACTTTTTTTCCAATGTTACTATTGAATATTAGAAAATACATGAGTTATCATGAATTGGTTCAAATTTTCAAGTTGAGTTAGAAAAAGGTGTCTGAAAAAAACTCACAATGAAACTTAGAAATCCTTCATATTTTATTTAGAATTGTTATACATCTTTTTCGTAAACCAAATGTCTCATAGATCACTTGAATTTTATGTATTAATTATGTTAATATTAATATATCAAGGAACATATGGAAAACCACTTAATTTAAAAATGTGTTGACATTAGAATAAACATTCTAATATAATGTATCCACATGCATCACCATACGGCAATACCTAACACAATAACCCGACCAGTTCTTTGTTCGGTTGGATGTCATCTATATGTACATAATCATCCTAAAATACAAGTTACAACCAGTTACTACAAATAAAAAAGTAATAGTTAAAAATGAAAAATAATAACTATAAAATTCATTGATGTAGGCTTCCATTTCTTTATATACCTTGGAAAAAAGAATTGCGCTTAGAACTTACTACGGCGCAAAAACAACGTCCACTTGCAAGTTTGCAACACATTATAACATTATAACTTCGTTTATTCTTATGTCATTTCATAGACCACATATATAGAAAATTCCCATATATAGAGTATTGTCTAATCACTAAGAATTGTAACTTAAACCCGAATCAATATCTAAATCAAAATCTAAATCAAAATCAAAACAGAATGCTTAACCAAGATCCACTAGACAAGTCGGCAGATCCTAAGTGCATGGCTCCTCCACACTCACCAACTACTACTTGATCTCTCTTTCTCCTACCTACCACCCCACACCACCCCACTCCACTCCTGATTTCGACATTTGTCTTTTTTTGTGTGTTAACTTTCGCTATTTGTCTTAATCCATCTTTTTGTAATAATACCAATTAATATATGATAATAAATGAAAGTGTTTTTAGTCATCTTTGCCTCTCATAACGAAGGAATATACGTACATGATCAAGCTGGATTCAAAAATATGATCGAGATAAGCTTACACATATATAGCTAATATCAAAGCTGGTTCCAAACCTAAAGTTAATACCAAGAACAAAAGACAGAAACAACTTTCTGGCCTCTAAAGGTTAATAAGTTTCTGATTGGAATGCTAAATTTCCCATTCCCACCAAACCCTTTATGATGAAATGACATGATTATCTTGTCTCGTCGTCATCATATTTGTCCCACATTACAAATAGTATTTAACTACTGTATTTTAGAAATAACATGAGTGTTTGCGAGTAGGCCAGCATGACTTAATTCTCATCATCTATATAACTATCATGGACCCACTAAATGATCAACAAGTTCGTGACCGTAATATTTATGAGAACGACCAAGACTCTTTTAATTTAATTTTTAGTTACTTTTTACTTGGCATTAATTTTGTGTTCACATCGAAGTTAAGCCTTACTATGGAAGTCCCTTGTAAGCGTGTGATACTAGGAGTCTAGGACTGTGACCAAAAAGAAAAGATTGAAATTTATAGATGGTAAGTAGCTTTGACGACGACCTAAAAACATATCTCCACGTACGTCATGAATAAAATTAAAGAAGTATCTCTGAATTTTGTATCACTGTCCACATAATTCACCGTTTGTGCACATGCAATACGTAAACATAGCAAAAATATTGTGGAATACTGTCAAATATATATATAGTGAAGTGGATGTTAGATAATTCAAATAACATATTAACAATTGAACATTAAGTTTCGTGGAAATTATATGCCCGAGTTTTAACTAGGCAAGTCAAAGTTAATTTCCTGAAGATATACTTGAGAGCTCTATTTAATAATCACTGAAAATTCATGGAAATTGGCATAGTACACGACCAAGGAGGTTGTACTTTGTTCCAAAAAACATCAACCCGCACTTATGTTCACACGTTAAGTTTGACATTTGTGACTTAATTGTTTAGAATCTGAAAGTTTTTCTTGATTTGTTGGTTAACATGGGAGTTCTAGAAGATAGCTTACAAAGACGACTAAAGTGTTATTAATGATTTTTTCTTGAGTTCACAGGATGATTTTTTTGTTCACCAACAAATAAAAATTTATCATTTTATAATTATTTTTACTTGCCAAATTCTATTATGTTTTTAAAACTTAAAACTAAAAAATAATAATACTAATTAACTATGAAAAAAAAACATTGGGATCTCGAATTTATCCAAGAATTTAAGAGTTATCCAATGGTTTAGAGTTTACACAAGAATTTAGAAATTACCCAAAAATTGAAGGTATATTCAAGAATTTATGGTTTACAAAAGAGTTGAGGATTTAATGTTTAGAGTTTACTAACCGCGTTAACAATATTTTTTTTTTTTAAATGTAGCTACTACTATTTTTATTTTAGAGTAAACATAATATGATTTGGCAAATATTTTGTTTTTTCTCAAATAAATTGAATGTGTTGATATAATTCTATTGATTGGTGAATATACAGATTCACCTTAGGAGATGAACCTAAGAAAATCTTGTTATTAATTATCTGACTGCTAATATGTTTTCTAGCAGATTCCTAAATATTGAAAATCTGTATTCGAAACTATATATACTAAGACACTGAACAATTAGAAGATGATGATGAAAGGAAATGACGGATCATATAATTGTGAACAGGTCTAGGCATTCAGATATCGACTGGAAGTTTAGGTCGAGTATTTCGAATTCTGATTCTTATTTATATCACCTTATAGGTTTCATTTTAGTAAACTTATAAGTACATGCTGAATTCAGATATAACACATCAATTTCTGTTATAGTTTATACTACATCCTAAAATTCATAAAATAACCATGTATTTTTGTGGCTTCGAATTATAATAGTTTGGTTTGGAGATATCCGTAATAGAAAATCCAAACTTCAAAAATAAACATTAAAAAATATTTAATTATATAGAATTGATTATTTAAAGTACTTATCTAAATTTTATTTACTTATTTTTATATATCATAACAAAATAAATATACAATTGAAAATATTTGAAATACATATTTATATTTCAATTATTTATATTCCATATTAATTTGGACCTATAGATCGGTTTTTTGGATATTTTTTTGGGGTTACCTATTAAGGTTCAATTCATAACACTTCATGTTTGATATGTTTTATAATACCTCACAAAACTCATTCGAATATTTCTTATATCTTGGATTGGGTATTGATAGATTTTTCGATTTGGATTTCGGATTACAATTTTGATGCCATGCCTTATTGTGTACATGTGTCTGTGAGCCGTTTACTAATAATTATAACGATTGTTTTAGTTCCTTGCCAACCATTAAAATTCAGTCGAAATTATAGTACTTTAACTTTATAAATAATAAATTTAGTTGACAAAATAAAATGGTAAGTAATTTACAGATTTATTTTTTTTCCACTTGACATAAGAAGTTCTTCATTTGATTTGAGCATCAGAGCCAAACTACAAACCGGTCTTTGTTTCAGAAGTAGCAGAATAAAACAAATATCATATGCAAAACAAGCTCTACATATCTACTTTGATTTCCACTATCGTTACACTTATAAAATATGACATTTTTGATCATATACGTAATTATAATAATTTAGACAAATTATACGGTCATACGTCTTCGCTAGGTAACGTGGACCACGGCGCCATATCCATTGGGTAACTTCCCAGCACCCTGAGGAATGACGTGTACTCCTGCACCTCCGCCAACGCGTTCTGCGCACGCGCCTCCGCCATAGACGCCTCGAAATCCACGTAGAACGTGTACTCGAAGTGTTTCTTCGTCCCCACGCTTCCGTCTTCCACGACTCTAACCGGGCAGTTATGGTGCGGCCGCGATTCGATTTTCGTCAGACTAATGTTCCGAAACGCAAACGCGGAAAGCACTTTGAACAGAACGCTGGTCCCCTGGTGCTCCTGAGCCGCGAAGACGATGCTCGTTTTGAACGGACGATCCGTGCGAGGGATGATCGGATCACGCGCGAGCATCAGGAACCGCGTGACGTTCCCGGCGTCGTCCTGGATCCCGTCCGCGAGGATCTGGAGTCCGTAGAGCTCCGCCGCTCTCGCGCTCGCTACCGCCGCCGTGTCGCGGAGGTTGTTCGTCGCGATGTACTCCGCCGCCGCCGCCGTGTCGTGAAACGCCTCGATCGCGGCTCGGGGAGTGAGTTTGTTGAGCGATCCTTCGGTCTGAGCCAGAGCCTGGGGGTGCGAGATCACGCGCGCGATACAGTCGGCGCGGACGCCGGGGAGAGCGAGGAGACAGTGGTGGACGGGGATCTGAACCTCTCCGACGATGTGGAGACGGTGACGGAGGAGGAGATCGTAGTTTCTGTGAATCGAACCGCCGAGAGAGTTCTCCACCGGGAGGACGGCGCGATCGGCGATCCAGAGCTCAACCGCCTGAAACGCGACGTCGAACTGATCGCACGGGATGGCTTCGGAGTTCGGGTAAGCTTTTCCGGCGGCGGCTTCGGAGTACGCGCCGGGAACTCCTTGGTACGCGACGCGGAGGGTGGATCCGTGTGACGGCGCCGGGGAGAGATCTGTGTTCGTTAACGGTTGAACCAATCCAGGCTTGACGTTGTTCGTTTCTGACGGAACGAGGCTGAGATTGACGGAGCCGTTACTGTGTCCGTTAACGGCGGCTACTTGATCAGCTAAACCGCCGATGATTGAATTCTCAGCGGAAGCTACTTTGCTGGCTAAGATAGCGCATGAGCTCTGCCAATCAGCTCGGCTCGAGCCAACGCCGTTGGGGAAGCTAAACGATTCAGACCTGTAACTGCAACGAACAGACACGCGCTTTCCGTTTACGTGAGAGAAACGCGCGTTTTTAGCCGTTGGATTCGTTTTAATTAGGGGTTTGAGATCACACGAGAAGGCAGACGAAACGGCTTGCATGATTAGAGTCGAGATAATAAAATGCTACTGCTTTTATTGTTGTTGATAAGAAAGAACAAATAAAACGACTGCGTATTTAAAGTAGGTACAAGCTAGCTTGGAGTTCTATTGTTGATAAGAGAACTTGCAAGCTGAGAGACAAAGGTGGGAGACAGAGGAGATTATATAGTAAGTGAGAGAGAGGAAGGAGTTGGATTTTTCTAAAAGAAAGTCTTAACGTGTCTTTCAGGGCAGTTCCGTCAAATCCTTCACCTACCACATTCATTTGATTTTCCTTGCCAATATATTTGTTTATATTATAAAGTTTGATGAGTTAATTAGATGTGTAAATATGTCTTTGATTTTTGTTAGGAAAGTATGGTAAGTACGTGTTAACCAGTGGCGGCCTCCAACTAATTGTTGCTGCTAATTATGAGTAAAGATCATTAATAATGGGATACGTACGTGTTGTTTTATACTTGTGGTTAATGCTAATGTTCTTTCTAGTTTTTGTTACTATGTTTTTTCACATTTCTATTTTAGTTAATTTTGATCCTTTACAAGATTACTAAACTAACTAACTTATCTATATGAACATTTTAGTGGTCGTGTAATAGTATCAAAAAACCATGTGGTAGAGATTTAGTGGTTAAAAGTTCACCTTTTTTGGTTGAAAACAAAGACCGAGTTTTATCAGACACATGGTTCTCCATTTTTTATGTTTCTCTATTGGGGTATTATAAGTAATTAGGTACTAAACGTATGGTATATGAGTTTTGCATAATTTGATTATGATTTTTTTTGTAGAATAAAAGTAGTACGAGGAAACATTTAGCATAAGTAGTTATGTTCCTATTCTATACCAAACAAACTTTAAATTTTATTGAAGATAGTATATTTATAAAGGTTATATAAGGCATAAAGTATTATAAGCATAAATATCCATTGTATAACTAATTTACTCGCAATGTTGAGTATACATGGGTTCGTTTTTTATTAAGATATCCTTTATATTATTTTCAAAAATATTTATACCCTTACTTCTAAGGTTTGGCAAAAATAACATTGGCTCCAACACATATACAATAAGTTAAAAATTAGATGACTCCAAGACGTTTTGGAACTAAACTGTTTCTCTTTACAAAGTTAGAATATATAGTGAGTATTAGCACCGGAAATTAGAGTAGACGTTATGTGCACCATTCAAGCGAAGTGTATGAGTTAGACGACGGCCCAACTCGAGCTACCATAGACACACAAAGAGCTAGCTCGTGAGACATATTTGTAGGTTTATATCTAATTTAATGTTTTCTCACATGAAAACGCACTAGACATACAAAAAGTATAGTACTAAGATATATTTGCGGATGAAGATTATCTTAATCTATATATAGCACATATCTCCAACTCTTATAGAATGTGTATTGCTCACACATCCTAAACTTAGAATACCGTAGAAACGAAATATCTCTAACCTTTATGATAGTTTGGGAGAAATTAGCTTTTGTATGAGAAACTGCAATGGATTTGCAAGTCTATTAGTATTTAAGATATAGTTTGATGTACTAAACAAATGTGTAATAGTTAAAGCTAATTGTGTACGGATTTATCTCCGTTTGATTTAAACATTTTTGGAACACTGATTTTTTTATTATTTTTTAACCTTGGGGGTATTCCTAATTATGCATACAATGAGAAAACTAAAAGAGGTTTGCAATTAGTGATAGTAACAAATGTTTGTGTAAGAAATTATTAGAACATGGAAATTATCTCTTTATTAAAGTATTATTCTTTGTAGGGGTGGGCGTCTGGGTATCCGTTCGGATTTGGGTCGGGTATTTCGGGTTTTGAATATTTCGGTATTGGGGTTTATAATCCGTTCGGGTATTTTTACATATCGGTCGGGTTCGGATATTTTTAGTTCGGATTCGGTTATTTCGGATCGGGTTCGGATATTTAGATTTTGAACGAAAATTTCAAATTTTTTATAACTTAAGTTTCATGTATTTAAAATTTAACTATTAGCTTAATTGTTTTTAAAATGTTTAATAAGTTAGACGATTAATAACTTTGAAAATAAATTATTGAAAATAAAAATCATTATTTTGGTTGTCATTTTTGAATTTTGGATGCAAATTTTGTTTAAAATATGAAATAAGAAGCTTAGTATGCATTTTAAATGAGTAACAAATCAACTTTTTTTACAATTACATGTATATTATCTGATCTTAAACTATATATAACATTAATATAAATATTTTTGATAAAATGAGACAAATAAACTAGAAATAAGTAGGTATATATACATTTGTTCGGTTATCTTCGGATATCCGTTCGGGTTTGGGTATTATCCGTTCGGGTTCAGATATCCAAACTCTCCTAACTCAATACCCGTTCGGATATTTTGCTACTTCGGTTCGGATTTTGGATCGGGTTCGGATACGAGTTCGGGTATCGGATAAAGTGCCCAAGCCTAATTCTTTGACATCTACTAACTTTTCCTAATTATGCATACAACGAGAAAAGTAAAAGAGGTCTGCAATTAGTGATAGTAACAAATGTTTGTGTAAGAAATTATTAGAACATGGAAAATAAATGAATCATTAACAGCTCGAACATGCCACGGTTATACGAGACCTGTAAATGTGTAGTCAGATATTAAAAGTGTCTCCCAGCTTCTACGACATTCTTATTCATTTTCTCCATTTTTAAGAAAGAAACTCATATATTCATGACAAGTACAAATAAGAAAATTATCAACAAACGATTAGAGTTGGCCGTAAAAATAAATTGATGGGGTTGTTGAAACCTTTTTTATTCATATATTTATAAACGTTTAATATGGCAAAGTTGGTGAAAACACAAGTGGGACTAACATTTTACCTAAGTATGTTGAATTGATTCTTTCTACATTTCTTTTCATCTCTCTTAGAATTAATTAGCGTTTTAAAATATTGTTGAACCTTTTGTTTTCAAATATGATTTCGTGACCTCTTCACCATTTTAATATGATTTTCTCTCATTCTAAATCGCCACTTGTTACTTTGCAAAATGGTAGGAATAACTGGAAATACATAACTAAATAAAATTGACAAATTTCTTTTACCGAATTCCTGCCATGTCAAAAAGAGAACCGCAAGTTTTGTCTGAATCCACCTATCAAATATATTGTTTCCTAAAACATTATGTACGTCTATACTTCTAACGTTATTACATAACAAAGATGACCTGAGAAAACAGAGTAGTTGGGAATTCAAGTAAACAGCTTGAATATCAAAGAAAAATTGTTCTGTTTCCTAAGAATTTATACAGTTTCATGTATTTCTAGCATAACTCGTTGATATGTGAATCTTTAAATAACAGAGAGTCCATAGAATGTCTAGATATAGGATTTCTGGGACAGTTAATAAGCTATTCTCAAAGCATCAAGTCTATTTCAAAATTCAAACCGAACAAAAACAAGAACAAAAATAATATAAAATAAAATGCACTTTTCTCTAACACTCTATTATCCTACCATTTCCTATATTCATTTTCAAAGTCGTCCATTTTTGTAAATTATTCTCCACAGAACTAAAGTCAGATCATAGTCCCATTTGGTATATTTTTGTCCTAACCTAAAAATATTAAACCGAAGTCAATGCGAACCGAAATAAACCAGTAAAATGGATTATAAAAAGTATGTGTGTTCTTTTGACTTTCTTCTTTTGTTGTTGACAAAATTGACTTCAGTTTAAACGAAAGAAGCACATGTTACATGTGCATGTTCGCTGAAGATTCCGAGACGTCTTTGCATAATCAAGAAAGTAACAAACAAGTAGCCAACTAACACGGCACGTGATAAAACTTTGTATCTTCAATGATTTCATTTGTTTCTTTTGGTGTTTCTTCTTTCATTGCATCTTCTGATTTGGCTTCCACAGTCTATATGGTACAGCTCTGTTTAAAAAGATGGGGGTGGAATAGTGAAATTGTCTTATTATATGTCACATATGAATTGTTAGTAACATGAAAATTATGGCTGGATGTTCCAGTATCCACTAAGGTTCTTTATAATTGATTAACATGTATCAATTTTCTGTTTTTCATTTCTTGTATGCCATGGTCAGGTGGATAACGATGTAACATTGAATTGAGTGTTGACATTCATTTTAAATATTAGGATTCTGCATTTATCGACAGAGAAGTCACTTTGACCACATGCTAATACTAATGATCAGCCAACGAACATGGTTGGGGTGATACAGATAACACCCAAACCTATGACTTTGTGAAGGGTAATTTTGTAAAGTTTTCTTAATGCTTCGTTTAGTTATTAGTTAATACACTTTGATCATATTTACCTTTTGATGACTGTAGTGGCAGAAAACTACTGAGCTTCTTCTTGATCAAGGGTTACTTCAATAGTGAGCAGCTCAGTGGCTCTACAACAGCTTCCAATCGAGACTGTTGGAGCAATATCCCGGGTAGTTTATAAAACCTTCTATATATGTACCTAACAGTTTCTTAACAAACTTACAAAATGAAAACAGGCCCATTAACTGTTTTCACGATGTTTTGCTCATCTATCAATCTCTTAGTTGGGCCAAAAGCCCCGTTAACCTTTCTTCCTAAGAGATTGCTAACTACACATTAGCGTGATGGATATTTTCTAACACACATGGGTTTCTGGGATAATCACAGAGACAAAACATTTTTGTTCAGTTTCATTATCAAACAATGTGTAGTTTGCAATGATTGATTGTTCCGACTTGTAGTTTAGTTCTGAATATTTTTCCTTTGGTAAAACCTTTCAAAAAACAGACTACTCAGTTTAATTCCATTTAACACAAGATTATATATTTGTTTTCACTTCAAAAGTAAACAATAACCAAACTACCACCCAAACCAGGTTCTTATTATTCCGAACCGGAATTAAACGAGTCAAACCAAAACATACTTAAACCAACAGAATTACATAAACCGTAACAAATCACAAACCTCGATTAAATTATAAAACGAGATTAATTAAGAAACAAGTACGGTGAGTTTCACGGTGCTACAACAACGGGAGATTTGACGGCGGCGACGGTGAAATCCAGGAGCACGATCTTGTCGATAACGGCGGTGAAAGCGGCAGAGAACTCAACGTGAAGAGGATGGCTTGTGAAAGAAACGTAAGCATCTTTGTTCTCGAAAGTCATCGAAAATGCATGAGTGAATCCTTGTCTAAGCATCTCGTGACTCTCATTATCTTCTCCCCTAATTAATTATCATCAAATCGTACGGTCATTAATTAGATATACAATAATTTTATTATAATTATTAACAAAAAAAATCAAGAAGTGACGAACCATTCAAAGGATTTGACAGAATCAATTTGAGAAACAAGATTCTCCAAGCCCTTCAAGATCTCATCAACTTTAGTATCTTCTTTAAACTTCACAACCACCAAATGCTTAAACCCTGTAGTCGCCATTAATATTCACTCTTTTATCTTCTTCACACACTTATGTGTTGAAGCATCTTATTATATAGAGGTGAAGATTTCCATGTGGACATGTGCACGTATGAACGCGTACGTGTGAATGAATGTACACGTGTGTATGTTTCTGTGTGCATGTGTGTGAACAATAATGCTTTTTTGATGTGCTAGATTTCGATGTACAAACTTCTGACATTACCTACATGACTATTTGTCTCTGAAATAAAACCTTATGTTTGGTTTTCATTTGCTTTTTTTTTTTCAAACTAGGCTCGACAACTTGCATGTGTTTGTCAGGTCACAGTTTGTAAATTGTATTTCGAACATTTCGTACGAATTTTTAATATTGAGTGCGTTTGGTCCAATGTCTGTGTTCTCATTCACTGAAAGGGTAACTTGTTTAGCTGTGATGCATAGCCGCACTAGCTAGGCCAGGGTAGGGCGTACCACACAAAGCATAGTACAATTTTGGGTTTGAAAAATGTAAATGTGTTATTAACTAACCTAATTAAAAGTTCATAAACTTTGTGGCGATTAGTTGCAGTATATTTTTTTCATGAAACTATTTATTAATTATAACCATTGAAACGGTTATCATCTTTCTACATTTTCAAAAAGTGATTCCATTATACGACATACGTCACATAACTAAACAAACCTTCATTAACATGGTTTAGTTAGTTTTACCTTTGATTTTATTTGTATAATATACGTACCAAGCATCTTTGCAATCAAAATTTCCCTGATATTCATATAGGTTGATTATATCTCTCCCCTTCCGAATAATCATCATAATCTCTTTTACCATTTGGTGATAACAACATGCAATAGTATGTTAACCTTTCTGATCGATGGTGACAAAAGAGTGCCTGATCGGTTGGTTGCGGTTCCATCGTTGTCTATTTCCATATAATGTTATTTTTCATTTGGAAACATATACAAGATTAAGCGACATAAATATATTAAGCCGTGGTGATGTTATTGTCTTATAGTATTTATCTCAGTATCTGACTATGAGAAATGATTCCTTCTGGCACTCTCAAGTCTCATTTTAAATGGCCTACAAATGCGTACCAACAAGAACTGAAAATAACCACACATTTTTTGTTTGTTTGTAATTTTCTCCATATTCATGCATGTAGTTGATCAACTCTCGTTGCCCCCCCCCCCCAAAAAAAAAAAGAAGATCAACTCTCTACATTTGGTTTTATAAATACTAGTAATACGAACATGAGTTAGTTGATTTTAGTTTCCTACCAAAACCGATATCAAACCAAAAGGATGCTGGTTCGATTTTGGATATTAATACAAAGTAAAATGAACTAATGGCCTTGGATTTGAATATCATAATCACTAAACCCTGATAAAAGGTATATCAAGGATCATTTTTTTCTTTGGGAACAAGATCTGAGCAGAAATCGAAAATCCAATGGAAAGAGAAACATGGTGCATGGATTTGAGTCAGCTCAATGTCTTTTGTGAACCGCTTTATCAAAAAAGTTTGATTCAGCCATACCATTTTGACATAATCCTTCTTCCGCTTTTTTCTTCTTCTTCTCAAGTCACATGAGAATTGGACCCATCAAAGGTATTTTCTTCATTATTTCCTTGTAAAGATATGATTAAAGTAGCATGTGGTCATGCTCTTAAATCAATTCCCTGTGAAAATGACATTATATCGACCCGTTGTCTAGCATTATTGGTACTATTTTAAGAGAAACAAAATGTGGATGGGAATATGAGATTTCAAATGGAATGTAGTTCAAATCTTATACTTCTCAAAACATTTGTATATGCTTAAGATTTGTTTACTTCATTCTTGTATGTTTTACGTCATGTGTATCTTACATGTGCATGTGAAGTTACTGTAGTTGATTTCAGAAGTTTTTTAAGCCTGCCATATGTGAATGCTACATATCTTGGTATATGTTAGATTATTCTAGTTTTCCATTTCTTAAAATGGGGCCTCGTCTTGCGCGGCTTTTTATATTATATCACGTTTTATTAATATAGTTTAGATTTTAATTTCAGGTTTTTATAAGTTGGTAACTAGAATTCAACGTATACATTTTTAGTTATATCAATAACATCTGAAAATTTTTAGGAATCAGAAAGTATTGAGCTTTGTAACGGTAAAAATAAATAGGAGTAATGACTGATTAGGTACGATCTGAAAACTCGTCAAAAGAGACTTAAGACTTGGATCGTGTTTCGGTGTTAAAGATGGAAGTTGGTCAGGTTGGTCGGGTTCGGTGTAAAGTACTCAAATGTTTTCTCATTTACATTTTCAACTTATTTGTTTGAAATATTATAGAATGAACGTCTTGGGCATTATATATACACACAAAATTTATATAAATCTTATAATATATATCTAAATAAGCCAATCCTTGTGATAATAGAATTTATATAATATTTTTCGATTTATTTTTCACGAACTTCATTTGATTTTAATGGTCTATAATAATTGGTCCAAAAATACACATTTTTCTGTGTAAGTTATCTTCGATAATTTGATAGTTGACTACGAAATAATTCTATAGAGCACAAGGGTCCTGAAGGCAGTGGCCAGAGGCCCAGAGTCGGCTCTCCTTCAAATTTTAATAGACTATGTGGTTAGAGAAATAGAGCTAAGACTTCAAGATAAACTACCATGGCTAGCATCGAACCTCCTGCAAACTTGGTTATCTGGTAATAGCTGAATAATATATACATCATGACCTATGAAAGTCTTAATCTCTGGCAGCATCCACAAACCTTGGATTCTTTCGATGAGATCGAAGTATATAAATGCCGGACTCTTCAGTTACATGCAAACTATATAAAGGCCTCATCCATATTTCCTAGACCTTTTCTTGATTCGACGGGTTCAAGCTTTTCATTCCTTGATATTGAATGGTTATACAAAAGAGGGTTGTTAAATATCGTTGGTTGGAGAGGAATACTGATTACAAGGAAGATGGACAGAAAAGTTCTAGGATCTATTTCACCAATCAAGAATCTAATCTCAATTTAAATAAGAAATTTGTAAACATCCTATTCTTAGAAGATAAACGTAAACACCTGACGGCCCAAATATACATGAAACCAATTAATCAACAAAGCCCAAATAGAAATGAACTTGTGATCACGAGAAAAACCGGACTATGCGTTGCATCTCTTTTGGGTTCTGCGCCAGCGGTTCGTTCACTATTTTAGGATTCTTAACGTATTAGAGTATGCCCATCAGTGAT